CAAAATGCAATTGAAATATTATTTAAAACAAAAAAACACCAAGAAGTCCATCTGATGGAGTTGACACAGAAACTGAATGTGGTGACAAACTATTGAGTAAAGAAAAACTTCATGCATGTGAAGTAATGCCATTTATGTAAAATGCATTAAATTTAAGGTCACTATCACTTAAAGAGTCACAATGTCAGTTAAACTGACTACCTCAATTTCTATGATGTTATTCTGAAGGCGGCCATATTGCAGCTCATCAGGTCCATGAAATCTGTAGTTTCCTGAGATTAAGCATTTATTCCACAAAACTTCACCAAAGGTTTGAAAACTGTCAGTTATGTTGTTGACACAATATGGTTGTGATGAACAACTTAGGAATGAAACAGAAGAAAAAACTAAAGAATAAGATGAGCTAGCTGGAGCTGCTTCGCCCTGTTAGCAAAGGAAGAGGAAGGAGGAGGTCCTGGGGTCCTCAGGACTTCTGATGCCCCCAATAATGCCTGATTTTTTTTACATTGCTTTTTAATTCAGTTGGAAAATATATAAAACTGATTTAATTCAATTTATTGATACTTTTATAATTATTTATTTCAATACTTATACTTAATTTTTATAATATATTATCTTAGTATTTCTTTAATTGTTTTAAGCTATTATAATTTATTGAGTTCTGCTCCAATACCATTCACCTACTAAAATGTTTAAAATAAAAAAATATTCAGCAAACACCAAGAAAACATACTTTGTTGTGTCACATGGCCCAGGTTAGTTTAGTTCAATATTTGGAAAAAATATATTTTGTGTAAATTTTATTAAAATTTTTGCTTCATCCATAGGACCAGTTTTGTCCTTCTTCTCAAGAAACACTTTACTACTAATATTACTACTACTACTACTACTACTACTACTACTACTACTACTAATAATAATAATAATAATAATAATAATGATAATAATAATAATAATATAATAACAATATCTTTCTATTTCAAAATTAAGGTTGAATAAATTAACACAGTTGAATGTTTAAATATTTATGTCCCAAAAAATAAGGGGAGGAGTCAATACCAGAGATATGGTTCAAGCTTTTCTTTGGTTTTGTATCAAATATCTTTACAAAGTACAACAAGTATAACAAATAAATAAAGTATTTAAACTACTCACAACAAAATTACACAAACTAAATGCACAAATGAAAACACAAGCAACAACAAAATACAAAGAAAATAATTAATATCCTTCCAATATTTGTAAGGACATAAACAATTTAGCCTCATGGTGGGTCCATATATTTGAAATAGGCTAATTGAATGATTGCAGTGTGAAAACTCGCCGTGCTGTGGCATCATTTTGTATTTTAGTTGCTTGTTTGCTGTAGTTCCTGTTGGTTTTCTTCCACTTCCTCTGTCTGGTTTTCCAATGAGTAACACAAACCGTCACAATCATAATCAGCAGCCCAGAACACACAGCTGCAGAGTACCAGTGCTGGAACAGAAAACTGGGAGGAATCTGGAAGTGCACATATCCAAGAACACAACATTAACCTAAATGTAAAAATATGCTGCTTGTTTACAGTTTATTCTAATAACTGTACCTGATAAAACAATACATATCATCTTGTAGAGTCATGGTAAATACAAAGAGCTATCAGGAGATAAAAAGTCTACCAAACTGGATTCCAGGTTACCAAAATGTCTGTTTGTGGTTTTGATGGTGATGATGATCTAAAAACAGATTTTGTTATTCAGATTATTCTGATTCTGATTAATTGTCTAACTAGTCAAAATATAGGAGCTATTTTCATACTTAGGTATGAAAACCAAAGTGGACCCCTGCTGCTTCGAAGCATGTGATTTAAGAAAGTAGCAGACGGAGGATCAGCTCTTTGAGAGCAGGAACGTTGACAGATTGCTGCTCTGAAGCATTGTGTGTGGTAACACAATGCCAGGATGGAAAGACATCAGCAATGACCTGAGCTTATCTTCACACACCAGGCCTTCATGCTCAATTCAGATTTATTTTGCTGAAATATGATGTTTTTGTGTGGCTCATGCGTTAGTTCATGCTACTAATTAACCGCAATCAAACTTCAGTTTATGACTCCAAAGCACAGAAGAAGAACGTTGGCGCCACACAGCAGCGTTCTGTTTACAAAGGTATTGATAGATGCTGTCATCCATAGATTCATGTCAAAGTTATTCAGTGATGGGAGCATCATCACAAGATCAGAACGAGATGCAAGAAGCTGATAAAAAGAAGTCAAAGCAACGGCCTTTAGTGGAGCACTGACTGCAGCTTCTATAAAGACGTCTTGTTGAACTTTTCGTTTGCATTGGGGGGAACTCATTAACTCCATATAAACTGCAATTTTTTTGCATTTGTCATCCCTAGAAGTTCAGAACATAGATGTTGCAATCAGTGTACAGGCTGAAGCCCAATGATGTTAGCATATCATGTAGGGGACTGCTGATAGGAAAATATTTGGATCCTTAAACAGTCCTGCAAAGGGAAATCCAAAGTTTTATGGTTCAGGAAAATCCAGATGTTCTGCATCATGCAATGTCATAAATGAAGTCAGGAATGCTTACTATGAATCCGTGTTCCTTTCCCAATTATCAGACGTCCATTCATGTTGGCAATGCAGTAATACAGGCCCAGATCCCCCACTTCAATAGCCGTGATCTTCAGGGCTAGAGACCGATTCATGAGACTCGCTGAATGACGAAGACTGAGCTGAAACACTGAAAACAGACATTGTAGTTGTTAGTGTTTAATTTGGACTGTCACAAACAAATTGAATTCTTCTGGATCAGGACTAAAAGTTCTGGCCCTACATTCAACCGGCCGTCCCTCCCGGAGGCTGGCGTGGAGGACCACGGTAGGAATGAGGTCTGGGTTTTGCTTCAGCCACGTTGTCATGTCGTACAGGTAGGAGATGTTGCACCCAGAGTGACGTTTGAACCAAAGAGGACCTGCTGGACCTCAGCAGCTGGAACAAACAGCATCCAAAAGCTGGACATGGTGATGAAACCTGGAGGGGATCAAATGGACCAAAGCAGAACAAATTTAGACAAAAGTTTCTGACAGTACCCGACTACATGTGAAGAACAGAGGCTGGTTCTTATCTGATATGCCTCAATTTTCTGTCACTTTGCTGCTGTTACACCTGAATTTTCTCACTGTGAGAAAATAATAATAATAATTCTATTCAGTCAACATAAAGCTGCTAATTATATTGAACCCTAATTAACAGAGTGCAAATTGCTTGGACGTAATATTTGATTATTAAGATCAGTAGCAAGCAATTCTATTTTAAGCAATGGTATTATTATTATTATTATTATTATTGTTATTATTATTGTTATTATTATTATTGTTATTATTGTTATTGAGCTCTGCATCAAGACATGAGATTGTTTCACCAAATGTAAAATAAGTGGAAGGTTTTTGAGTTCTCTGATCTGCTCAGTCTTTAAACCATGATTCCCTGAAGGCACCAAGTAGTTAGAATATCAATGAGTAAAATGTTTAGTTAGCCACCAAACTTTGGATTGAATCTTCTTTTTATCCATTTAATTAAAAAACTAAAGCTGTTGTTCTTGTCCCTCAAGATCTTGGTTCTGTTTTCTCAGCTTCAGTTTGTAACTATTTATTTAGTTTTAGATTTAAATACCTTTTTAGAAATTCTTTTACATCTTCTTCATGGTTATGATGGTAAAATGCATATTTTTATGCCAACTGCTGCCATAATTCATTGTTCTGATCCCACATCTTCATCAAAGATTGTAATAAAAGCCTCAGATTTAGCTGAGGAGATTTACTGATTCCACCGACTAAACTTGAATCTATCCAAAAGTAAAAGATTTTTGCATTACTTACAAATGAGAATCATCATAATCCGGTCTGCCTTCATCTGGTTTATCACTGTGTTGGTGAGAGCAGCTTCAGTTTCTGCAGACCACACTGACTTCCTTTAGACAACCCACTCTTTCCACTGAAAGCCCACTCCTCCATTCTGTTTGACTCCCCGCTCCTAAAGCCTCCTTCGGCTTCATTTGAGATCAAATCAAGATCCATTCAAAGTTCATGTCTGAATTATGCTGTAAGTTTTTCCTTTGGGGTTTAATTTCCACATAAATAAACTTTTTTAGGGGAAGAGTGAACTGAGTTTTGTCGTGCTTCCGTGCTGAAAGTGTGAAATGGCTAAAGAGGAAATGAAAGCCACAAAACTAGCAGGTATTTTGAAAGTTAAGTTATGGAAAACAAATAACAGAGAAATAATGAACTAAATAAACAAGATCTTTAAACCAAAACTGTTGCTTTGTCTGTGTTGCCAATTGAAGATGGGTGGGATGCGGATGATTCAGATGCATTTGAATCAAAAATTTAAATAACATTACTCTGACAGATGTGTTTCATTTTCTTTTGTTGCCAGTGGTGATCTTCAAATTTGTATGGTCAATAAAATGTTATCTAAGGGTAATATATTTTATCAATCCATGTAGGAACAATGTCGACTGAGCTGGACAAATATATTTAGTCACAAGCTGCCCAGTCATTCCTGCTCTATGCAAACTGTTAGTGAATAAAAATAATCCTTTGCATGTTCCTAAACTTAACAGAATAAAAATATCTTCATAAAATATGTTGGTCTGACAGGTTATGACTTATTACGAACTCTTTCTAATTCTCCTTTCTCTAGCAGACATGTAATGATCCCCAGAGGCGTTGCTGTTTTGATCTTTTTTATTTATAAGAAAATATACTTTGTTTTGAATGAGATTTATATCTCATTGAGAGTAGAAACAGGTTTTCTTGTTATAATGAGATATCGCTCCTGACTTTATTGTCCAGCTCCGGTATTTAAAGACTTCCATACTTACAAAAGTTGTTAAAACACATAAGTTACGTATTTAAATAGACCATATGTAAATTGCGATTACGTCATGACGCGACTACCTGCCACTTTTAGAACAACCAATCGCTGCCCTCCTTACTGGGGAGTCCGCCGCAGCGCGTAGCGGCTTCACGGTGCCCTGCTGACGGGCGTCCAACCAGCTGACTGCGCTGCTATCTGCTAAACAGCGATGAAAGCCCTGCTGGTTCTGACAGTTTGAGAACTGTTCCGAATTTAAAGCGACGGACTGAGGGACCGGAAGAGCGCGGAAGGCACCGGAAGACGGATCGGTCTCAGGTGAGCTTTAGCATTAGCTTGTTTGTAGCTGTCAGTGCTAGCAGTTAGCTCACTTAGCTCGTTCCTGCCACTGACTGGAAGAGCAGGTTTTTATTTCCAGTCGTCGCGCAGTAACAGTTAATATTCTTCTCAGTCATACTTTCTATAGAAAACCCAGGAGTGTCCGGTTTTCTGCGAGTCCAGTCTGAACAAAACCTTCGGTCATGAACACGTTGTTCTGAATTTCCTGGTTTCGGTCCAACCAGCAATTTTTTTCACTTAGTTGAAATTTAAATATATTATTTTCTAAGAAAAACACATGAAATCCAGGTGTTTAAAAGTTTTTTTGTGTTTGTTTTTATTTCCTTCCATCTTGTAACTTTAAAATAAAGCTTCAATTCACTATTGATCAAAATCTGAGTAAAATGAGTTAATCAAAGATTGAACTTAGAATTAGGGACTTGTGCTTGAGGGTTAATCTTGGAAACCTTTTTTATTTTTAGTTGGATTTAAAGTTCCCACCTCGAGAAAACTTGAAGCACATTGTGGCTTTTTGGGTCTTTATTTTATTTTGTAATTTAGTTTAATTTAAACTAAACAAAAAAATTAATTTAATTTAATTTAAACTAAAAAAAAACTGAAACCCTTAAAATTGAAGATAAAGACTGACTTTGAATTTGCAGTTTTATTCAGGCTGTGAAACCAGGTGAGCAGCAGGTGGGCGTGGCCTGTCAGTAGCAGGATTACAGGTTGTTGTTTAGTGTTTCCACCTTTGTCAGGTTCCTCCCTCTACTTTTCTCCTCCAGTTCTGCTTGAATGACTCGCTCCATGACCTGCAGCAGCTGCATGTTACTGCGGGCTGCAGTTTTTGTTTGTTTGTTGTGACTCTGCTGCTGTTTCTTTTCTTTCTTTTTTTAAACATTGTACACCATGACCTCCACTTGAACCTCAGCTACTTTTGTGTCAAAAGGAATATTGTTTAGTCCTATTCATCAGCAGTCTGTGTGGTGCTACTGTGACTTTCCCTTGATGTGGTTCAGTGGTGTCCATGTTACAGAAACATGATTCTTTATCTTTGATAAACTTGATTTTATTTGTTTTTCATGTTTCTTTCATCCTGGTAATCAGAGATGTGACTTTGTCTTTGGCTGTCAAACATCACTGCTGTAGTTTGACTACAAAAATCACCCAACTCCTATTTGACCGACCTCAACCAGGTCCTTACTGTGGAAACAAACCTTGATCCAATGCAGTGTAACATTAACTGTAGGGGGTTTTGCTACTATCCTTGTTTAAACTATCTTTTCCATCCATCAGGTTGGACAAGGATCATATCCCCTACTCCAACCTTCTGTTTATCTATCTGTTTATCTGGCCAGATGACGATTTAAAGAGGAGTTCTGAAATAGTTTTAACAAACCAAAGTTCAAATAAACTGATTTACAGTATCTGATATGTTGTTTGTTAGGATGGCTGGAGTGTTTGACATCGACCTGGAGACGGAGGTCAGCAGCGACACAGAGGTGAGCAATGATTGGATCACGCATCACCACGATGTAACAAAGATGAGAAGTGACCTCTAACCTTTCATCTCCAGGAGGACGCGTGTGAGGTGACAGCTGTTGAACCTGACAGGTGAGTTCAGACGAAGCCCAGACAGATGTAGATGCTGCAGTGAGCTGAATTCTCCTGCTGTGATGTCATGGCAGCGGTCAGACGGAGGAGGTGGAGCTGACCAGTGAAAACGTCAACAGAGACAGCGAGAGAGTTGGACCGGACTGCTTCGAGCTCCTCACTGTTCTGGGCAAAGGAGCCTACGGCAAGGTGAGCCGATCTCTGCTCATGGGGTCTGGTTTCACAATATGTCTGTCATAAAGTCATCAGTTCAACCGCCTTAACAAAATACTGAAGCAGAGAGAACAGTTTTGGCATTTTGGTAGCTCAACATCAGTGAAGACTCATAGAACCATGCTGCTTCAGGATGCACAGCACCGGCCCGGTTCAGTCCGGTTCATTCCATCTGCAGTCTGTTTGTCTGGAAGGTCGGGTTCGTTGGGGGAGGTGTGAATGCGTAATCAAACTGATGCTGACCAAACGAGCCTCGGTCTGGATTCGGTTGAAGTGAAGTCAGCTGCGAGTCAAATGCACGTGAACGCAAAGCGGACCGGAGACCGCTCCAAAAGCAGGAAGTGGACTGCAGTGCAGGGCATTCTGGGTAAAAACAATCAAAACAAACACAAGTTTAGCGCTACCAGGAAAAATGACTTGTGGTCAAAAACAAAAAAATAAATCCTACCACCTCTGAAATGTAACGTCTCCGTTTTGTTTCTATTTTG